AACAACCAAAAAGGAAAGACAGCCCCAGAATTTATTAACCAAGCCAAATGAAATTTTTCTCATCAATTAATCCAAACCCATTAAGACCCACTGCCTGCCTAATTAATATCCACTCTAAATCCATCATTCATTCACTAAATATTGAGTGTGTGGTAGGTAGCAGGCACTGGGGACCCAGGGTTGGGTTCAGGGATGAGCAAAAACAGACAGACTGGATCCCATAGGGCTCAGGTCCACAGGGAAGGTGTGAGGAGCTGCTCTTAAGGCACTGCAACATTGACAGATGATCCATCTCATTTTTCAATGAATGGTGAATGGGAACACCATTACACACTGTTCTCCCACATCCTGCATTTAGATTGTTTCCTTCTTGTACTTTACCAGCTAAATGCAGAAAATACTTTGAGAGATTATTTTCTCACTTCTCCCAAGGATGATGAATTTAATTAATACTAGATAGATGCACAGGAGAGAAGTTAATCCATTACAGACAATGAATGCCTTAAGGACTGAGGGCTCGATTCTGTGGGGAAACCCAGTTGGGAAGGATTATTATTTATCCATACATGTCTGTCTTCATAAGAGACAGTGAACTCCAGAAGACAACAGCATTACAGTGTCTGGTACAGAATAGAGCTTTTGGTAAACATCTATCAAATTAATACGTTCAAAGGAAGCTTACAAACCTACACTCTTCTTCTCCACCACTCTTGCCAGCCTGGGCCCCACATCACTCCACTCAAATTGTTAAAAATGGACTATTTGATGACAGGTACTAGATTAGTGCCTCCTTTTTTTCCTCTTGGGGAGAAGGGGCATCACAGAACCCTCCAAGAGGCAAAACTGTATCACTTCTCAGGAAAATAAAAGTCACACACACAAGACTGTATGCATAATTTCAGGGGTTCACATGCCATCAATGGAAGTCTATGACTCTCAGGTTACAAACCCCTATAGTAGACTGTGGCAAATTAGACTTGAATTAATGCCAAAATCCTAACCAGCCATGTCTATCTATTTAGCAAAAATAAGAACAAATGGGGGGCCAACCGAGTGGAGCGTTGGTTAAGAGTTGGCTTGGGATGCCAGCTCTGAGCTACAGGACCCTGGTTCGGATCCCACATGAGGGCCAGTGACACTGCGCCCTCTACAGTTAAGATGGTGAACAACAGCTCGACCTGGAGCTGGGCTTCTGTGAGTTGCCAGTGACAGCGTAGGCTGCAGTGGGGCTAGCCGGCAGCTGGCGTGCACTTTCGTGAGCTGCCGTGAGCTGCCATGAGCAGCCATGAGCAGCCATGAGCAGCTGTCCAATGGCCGGTGAGCAACTGCCTCACCCAGGAAGAGCGCAATGATAATACCAACATGGACCAGTGAAGCAACGTCCTCCACAACTAGACTGAAGAACAAAAGGACAGCGACTTGTCTGTTTCCCTTCCCCGATTCCCCAGCGCTGTTCCCCTCCCCCAATTCCCCAATTTAAAAAAAAAGAAGAAGAACAAAGGGGCCAGACAGACCTAGGTTTTAATCCAGGTTTTATCATTTGCTACTGTGTGAGGTTGGAGAAGTCAAACTGCCTTTCTCAGCCTCAATTTCCTCCTCTTTAAAATGGGTTAACAACAGTTGCCAATTCCATGTTAATGTCAAGATGAGATGAACAAAAACATGTGACGTGTTTGGCATAGTGCCCTGTACGCAATAAATGTTCATAAATGGAAGCCATCAGCACCTTCCCTCTAGTCTACAGACTCCACACTTACCTCCCATTCCCATTTGCATCCCCACTAACAACTGTGTTAGTGACTCCCATGAGATCTCAGGGAAGACAGAAAATAAGAGCCCCTAAGAATTTATAGGGTCAGGAAAACTGTCCTACTGTTTTCTCCCCCAATCAAATGCTTGATTTTAACCTATCAAGGCCCTTCTGACAAGACAGTCGGCAATCCCTTTCTGCATAAATCCAGGTCAGCTGTCAGCACACAATTGTTCTATTAGGCCAAGTCAATTTTTAGAGGCAGGCCTGTTAAGTTCACTTAAAATGGAGATGAAAAGAAAGTGTTTGATCAAATGCTAAACTGCAGAAACACACTGACAGGGATACAAGGCAGAGGAATTAGATTCCTAAAATTATTCTCTGTAATACCCTTAGTTAACACTGGATATTTAAGGAACTCACTCAGTCTTTGGAGCCTACCACCCAGCTCTCCTCCCACCCCTCATAGCTAAAGGCACCGGCTTAGTTCTTCAATGTTCTCAGCTCTCCTCTGCTTTCAAAACCATTCAACACTTAACCCGGAATCCAGAAAGGCGGATTTTAAAGTTACACAAAACCTATCATTCAGATTCCTTCTACAAATGAATTTCTCAAGCGTTTCTAAATATTTGACTTCAAGAAGAAAAAAAAAAAAAGCATTTCCACTTTAAAACAATCTTTCATCTCTAGCGATGAAATTTTCTGTTTGTTTAACCAATCCACATACCACTAGCCAGAGTTTAATCAGGCCTTTATTAACATCACTAACTATGTGAGTTGCACAGCCAAGTCTGAAAGTTTCAGATAATGATCTCATTAATAGCAACAAATTGGTTCAAAGATGAAATGTATATCAATATGTCTAAGAACCCTGTAAAGTTCCACACTTCAGAACTACAGGAAAAGTGTAATTAATTCCTCCAGCATTCACTGTATGCCTAACACTCTTACAAGCAAATAGGCTTTGATGCTGTATGAATAAGATAATAAAAGTAATTAATAGCATTTCACATCCACACATTGTTTTCACACTTTCACAAATGATGATGTAAAAAAAAAAAAAAACCAAACAAACAAAAATTCCCTCTTCTTACAGAGTACACTGTGACCTTGGGAAAATTATTTAAGCCTAAAATGCACAAGGAGAGAACCAAGAATCCTGTGACTAATCCCAAGTTTTGAATTACTTACTCTCTCAGACACACACACGCACACACACGCACACACACACACACACACTTTTTAACCAGGCCTCCCCCTACCCTAATCCACGCAAATGATTGAACAAGTACTCTAGAAGTATCTGGGCGAACCAGACAATGATAAGGTATCTACTTAAACATACACACACACACACACACACACACCACACACACACACACACACACACACACACACACACACACACACACATATAACACTTTCAGTGCATGTAACAGGGAGAGAAACAAATCAGTAATACAAACCAATTTCCTATCTTAGAATTCTTAATGGAGAGAGACTCCCAAACAGGGTTTTTTCCCTCTCCTAAACCGTGAACAGTGCTACCGAACCCCACTGGAAATAACAAAAGCAATGCTACTTAGGTTTAGTTGTAAGAAAATGAACTCTGCTCTGAAGACCATAAAGTATTAAATAGGAAATCATGCAGAGTTTTTTTAAAGAGAGTAAATAAAAGGTTTGAAAAGTTCAACAAGGGCACTTAGGAAACATGATTAATCTGAAGCTAAACATCAATTTGTTTCTTCTGCATTCTCATTTCTCAGGCAAAATGTTACACTCCCTCTCAACAGTCCTACAACATCAGCTTTCCTTACAAAAACCTTTTTCAGAGCTGACAGGAGCCACGCCAGTTCCTTAAATTGGGCAGTGTATTCGAAGAACTAATAAAAGCATGCCAGTCTCTGTACACACACAGCCCTGAAAGCCACACTGCGTTCCTTCTGTACACACAGAGAGGTTAAGCAAGTAAAGTCACTAAAGACATAGAGTGAGAACACCAAGAAATGACTATTCGAACAACTCACATAAACTCACTAATATTACTGCAGTTATAAGGGAATTAAGGACACCTATTAGTGATTGCTTAACAGGTAAACTTATTAAATACCATTTAAGTCATTTTTCTGTACTTAACAATTGTTGACCTAATTTTTTTTTTTTTTTGGCTAGGCTAATGGACTATAAAACAGTTAGATAAGCACTTCAAAAAGTTTCAAAGAAGAATAGATTCCTTCTGCCAAATTCACACATTATCTCTCTACTCACAAGGATAAAATAGTTACAAATGGTGTTTAAACTGCTAATTTTGTATTAAATGGTGAACCCAAGATTATCTCCAAAGTATAGCACTACTCATAATGGATAGCTCGCCAGACAAACTACCATAGAGAAAGAGTGCAAGTTAAAACACTGCAGATAAAAATCGCAAACTTCAAAAGTCTCCTTCAAAAAGTGAAATGCCATGTTAAAACATCTTTTCTCTTGGGAGGCTGTAAATCAAACATTTCTAAAGCCATCAGGGCACAGTGAAAGCCTCAAAGAGAAACAAGGAGTCACAAGCAGCAAGCTCTAAGATTCTAACTATTCTTGAAGGCTGCAACTGACATGGGTAGGAATCTTCAGCAGAGCATCCTCTCTACAGCTTATAAATTAAAGACCATAATTATAACATTATCAAAGGAAAAAGTCCCAAAGCCTTTAACATATGTAGTCTCTGGACTTAAATAACATGTTTCCCCTTCTATTTACCCCAGAAGTTTAGAATGGGAATAAGAGCCCTGTAAGGCAATGCTGCTGATTAATCGTCCAGCAGAAGTGCCTCCTCCAGCTTTATAAGGACACACCTCTAAGGAGCCCAGCTGCACAGCTCCCCGTCCTATCTACAGCTCCTGTCCTATCCACGCAGAGCTTTGAGTCTACATCAGGGAGGAGAAAGGAAGAGGCTGCTATGCAGTCATTCCATAGAGTCCCCTTCTCTTCATTCATAACTCATTCAAGAGTAACGCGCAGAAGGCCCAAAGGTTGGGCCCCGCAGCCATCCCCCGAGAAGGTTCAAAGACAAACCAACCATTTCAAATCGCCCCCATCCGAGGCAAGCATAGTAACCGCCACAAGTGCGCTGGCCGTCCACTAGCAAGTTGGTAAAATCATAGCCAAGGAAGCGGAAGGCATCTACTCAGTTCACCATCCGCGGAGGCTTGAGCTCAGCTCGAAGCTCTCCCTAACCACCTTGCTTTGAAATACAGACCTCTTTCACTTGGAGCAAGGTGGAGGCCCTGTCAGTGAGCGATCCTATCTCCCGATTCCGAGGCCCTCCGCAGAAGTCCTTGGCCAAGGAGCGGACAGGCAGTCTCCCTCCCACCCTCTGTAATCTGAAGCACGCAGTGAGGGCTGCCTTCCACGGCCACTCCAGGGCACCCGCGATCCCCACTCCTCCTGGGTCAGCTCCCCCTGCTCCCCTGCCTGCTGCTGC